CCCCCCAAGGTAACCCTTCTGGTGGTGTACAACTCCAGCTACAGCGTGGCGCTCTACGGTTTGCTTATGTTCTACAGGGCGTGCGGGCCCCTACTGGCGCCGTTCAGGCCTGTTCAGAAGTTTTTTGCTGTGAAGAGCATCATCTTCGCTACCTACTGGCAGAGTGTCGTCGTGTACTTCATTCCCGGGGTGAGTGAGTCGCTTCTGTTAGGGGCTATTCAGCCGAATAGTCCGGTCTAGTCAAACAGACTAGCCACCATTGGTTCCCCTAGCTTCGCGATCTTGTGTGGAAAACAAATGTCTATTTGTCGGTTCGGTTGGGGCCATTAGCCGTAACAGTGCAGTCTAATCAAACGGTCTACAACACGTTGCTAGCCACAACAGCCCCCCCAAGCTTGGCGCTCTTGTGATCCTGCTGTGGTAATACAACAACATTGGTGAGTCGATTCGGTTGGGATGTCTTCAGCCGAACGGTCCAGTCTAGCAAAACGGTCTAGAACAGCTAACCACCACAGGCCCCAAAGCTTCGTGCTTTCGTGTTCCTGGCGTGGAAAACAATTTTGTGTATCAGTGAGTCGCGTCGGTTCTCTTCAGCCAAGCAGCCCGGTCTGGTCAAACGGGCTGCAGTAGATAGCCACCACAGGCCCCAAACCGTCGCGCTCGTGTTGTTCCTGCCGTGGGAAAATAAGCAATCGATGACACCCGCCTCTGCTTCACTGCCCTCTGCCGTCTTCCTGCTGCCCCCGCCACCTCGAAACGGAACGGACGGTGTCAACGACCACCTTGGTACGGTCGAGGACAGCTATCCTCGGAGCAAATCCTCTTGTGGAACGACTGGTTAATCTGCATGGAGCTGGTGAGCCTCCTCTCCTATGTTGTCGTTGGTGCATGTCGTCAGGAATTGGCTTTACGGTTCGAACCTTGTGTCCATCCACAAGGCTGTCTCCATCCACAGACTCAAAAACACCGCTGTGGATGCGTTTCTAAGCTCGAATCCTGACTACCCGTCGTGCTCATGCTCTCGGTTGTCTAGTAGTTTCATTACCTCTTGACTTTTTCGATATGACGAGGCTAGCTTACGTCTGAAATGATCCAAGACGTAATGCAATCATGTTGTTCGTATCGCAGGTGGCGTTTGCCCTGCTGCTGAACGCAGCGTTCCCGTGGCACGATTTTATCATGGAGCACCACGACAAGCCGGTGCTTGAAAACGTCCGGGAGATGATCAACGTCAGGTACGCCAAACAATGATGTGGGCGATGAAACAACGATTTGGGCTATGCGACCCGGTGTTTCCCTGTGCCGCAGCAGTCTATCGGGAAAGGAAGTAAAACGCTTTTGTACGTTCGCTGTGGGTCATGGGCTAGACCACCTAAAACGGAAGTAGTATTCCAGCGAAGCGGAGCAAGCAGCCGAGTCCGAAGTTTGTGCTGACAACCCTCTCAGCTTTGCAGCATAAACCCCTTGGGGCCTCCCCGCTTGGACGCCTTGTGGACCGGTGCTGTAGGTTTAGGGATGTCGTTCCATGGGCGGGAAAGTCACCTAGAGTCACATTTCAAGCGGCGTGCTACTCCTTTATTCGTGCTTTCTCTGCCACGGCAGTTGTCCGGGATGCCGACAGGATGAGAAACAGCCCAACATTTTGCAGCAGCGCAGCAGCAATAGCAGGGCTAGCGCTTGTGCCGTCGTCGACACAAGCAGCCATGCCAGCCAACACCCCCAGTAAACGTCTGCTTTTTCCTCTCCTGCACCCCCGTGTTCCGAACCCAGGGACGTCTTCCAAGACGCGTACCACAGCTTCATGCCGTCCTACCAAGACTACGTGGTGGCCAGGGACGACCTCGACCCCAACACGCCCGTCGCAGGCGGGGGGGGAGGGGTCGCACGCCCTGCGGGGGGTAGCGGCGGGAAGAAGGAGTCGCGGGTGGTTCGCACTCGGACGTTCCTTATCGGCAACCTGGACAGGGGGAACATGAGCAAGCCGACCCTGTCGACTGACGGGACTCAGGTATTTTGTGTTGCTGTCGGCGCTGCTGCTGGTGGTGGTAGATGACGATGATTGGTGATTGTTATTGTTGTTGGTGATGGCACTAGGTGGTTGATGATGACAGTTGGTGGTTATTTGTTGGTGGTGGAATTGGCGGTGGTGATGCAGTGGTCGGTCTTGCTTTTTTTGTTGCTATGTTGCTGTGAACGGTCGTGGTTGCGTTGTGACCGGCAAACACGGCACGGCTGCCATCCGTATTCGAGAAAGTTCGGTGCTCCCCCTATGGCTACCACTGCTATACGGTCGAGCGCACAAGTTAAGTGAAGACACAATTAGCTCATGGGTTGGTGCTGCTATCCCGCGTTGTTGTAGAATATCAAGCGGCAGTAGTGCCCCAACCCCTAGCGAACATTTTCCAGGGTTGCCGTTCTCTGGCTAGAAGATTGTTAGTGTTGTTGCTTGTGTGTGCTTCAGCATGCACCACCCGCGTGTTCTCCAACCTACCCCTGGACATTTGCCCGCTTGCCGCCTTGCACCGCAGTCGACCGACGAGAGCGATAACCCCGCAGCCGGCGGCGGCAGCCACCCCGCTAACGGTGGTCGGGGTAGGCTATCTGTCGACGATGAGGACTTGGAGGGAGGCCTGGACGAGGACTGGGGGCACGACGTGAATGTCATCGAGCTGCAGAACAGATTACCGGACACAAGCAGCAGCAGAGGGGGGGGCAAAAGCAAGCCCAAGTCAAAGCGGAGTAAAGGAGCGGCAGCGGCGGCAGCAGAGGTGGAAGCGGCGGCGGCGGCGGCGGCGGCGGCGCAAGAAGGGACAGCAGCGGCGGCGGCGGCCCCAAGTGGCACTGCTGTAAGCCAAGGCGTAGCTGGGGTGGCCGTTTGAATGCATCAACGGCAATTCAGCAGTATAGCCTTTGGAATGGTTGCAGGGAGGCCAAGCATCCTTCAGAGGTACACAGTGTAGACGTAAGTGATGACACGCTGGTTGAGCGGGTTGACAGGTAACGGGTTGTCATCTTGTTTTGCTCCTATTGAGTGCATATTTTGTGCCGTTGGCCAACTGTCGGTCGGGGTATGCCGGGTACATATTTACTATTATATGCATGAAGTAGGTGGTTCCGATCTAGATTTTTATGTGGGGGCGTTGTAGCGTAGTGTGTGTGTGTGTGTGTGTTTGAGAGAGGGGTTATCAGCCAGTTTATCCTAGTGTTTAGTGTTTTCCTTGTATGGGGAAGGTGCCACGCCGACAGGGCGAACACCCGTACAAGCGTTGCTGTGTCCGTATGGTATGGCAGAGTACAGCTGGATTTACAGGTTGAGAGTGAAGTGATGTATGTTGGGAATTTGTCAGGTGAACAGCACCTCGTAGCCTCTTGTGTACACGCAAAGGTGGAGATGTCAAAACCGAAAACGAGTTGAGTGTCATTACTTCAATACTGACTCGGGGTCGCCGTTGGAACTTTTCCCTAGGAACCAGACTGGGGTCTAGTTGGTTGTCCACCCGTTACCCGGACATTTGGTATACCAGTACGATTCAGTACCACACCATACTATATACCGGGGTATATATACAGGATACCGGCAAAGTTGTTTTAGATGGTAGGACAACACCCGTACAGACATCTTTGGAGCGCCGCCAAAAGTACTTTGGTGTATCCTTGAGGCTGAAGGGGCTACAATATGATCTAGGCCAGGTGTTTGACAATTGGCAACGCCTACCTTCAGGTGGATGCTTTTTTCCTTTGGCAAGTCGTACCAACGTTGATCCAGCCCACTGCTGCTGCTGCTGCGGTCCTACAGTATCACCAGGCACCAAGCAAGCGGCAAGGGCAACGCTTCACGTCCACTGGCGTAGTATGTAGTCGAGCCTACCGGTGTGCTGCATTTCGGTGTTGCTGTGTGATTGAGTCTGTGTTGTAATCTAGTACAGAGGGGGTTTGTTTTACCGCCGTGTAATCTAGAGGTGATACGTAGAAAGACTTGAGAATTTGAACCGAAGAATGAACAAAAGGACTGTTCGAAAATCGCTTCTAGATATCCTGCGATAGTCAAGAGTCTTGAGAACACTTCGGTAGCAGAAAATACCACTTGGGATTAGCGGAGGGGAGAAAAAATGGCCCACCTAAAAACCTTACGAACGCGTAGAATAAAAGCGCGAATAACGTGTAGCCCGCCCGTCCTCCTTGCCGAAGTCGCACAAGAAACTGAAACACTCCTGATGGCTGCTTCAGGGAGTACCATCGATCTATCTATTGTGCACGCCTGGGAGAGTCCGGGGGTTTCTTGTCTTGTCTGACAGCTCAAACCCGACAATATGAACGGTCAAGTGAGCATGCCTTTTTACTCGCCACAGCCGAGTGCGAACGACGCATCATTCGAAATGTACGTCATGTGGTACAGTTCGTCGACCGTCTTGCCATCGTCATGGTTCGGAGGAACTTCCTATGCAACAATGGCTGGCAAGTTTTCTGTTGCGAACAAAACGATGCCGGTCGTCCCGTCTCTCTCTCTCCCTCTCTCTCTAACGTCGGGGAGCGGGGCTCTCCCCGATATTGTTGTCGTTGACGCAATAGAGAGCTGCAGGTGGTGTAGCTGCCGGGCTGTAAATGTTGTATGCATATGCCATAAATTTAAACTGTCAGCAACCGCGTTCTTAGCACCCACCCACCCACCCACACGAACCTCAATCGCCAAGCTCTCTCCCCCTCTCTCTTTGTCCCTCTTTACATGTGCGAAACCTCTATTTCGCCATTTCTATCTCGCTTCGTCGACTGCTATCAAGACGGTTGACCAAGCCTGACGACCCACATCACAACGGACCGCACGACCCGCTCACGCATGTTTTCGTCTCGACTTGACGCGTTCGAACAACACCCCCAACATCCCCTCTCTTCCTCTGGAAAGAAAAACACGAAAAGGTCAACTCCCCACACTCCGCCAGCGCCTAAAGTACACCCTGTAAACACACACAGCTGGCACAGCAGTCCAGTCTCGTCTACACAGCTCCCAGCAACTCAAAAGCGTAGTCCCGCACTCGCCACACGGCTGCCCACAAATCACGTACTGCATCCTATAGCAATTCGCACAGCGTTTTGCAAACCTATTGATCGATCATGGCGTTTCTCTGCACACTTAACCTTGAGCTTTCAGCCAACGCCAAGAGTTTCACGTCGTGCCTAAAACTAATGCACGACAATAAAGCACCGCCGTCCCTCTTTAATGTATCATGTGCAGCAGCTCACCCAACAGAGCGTGCCGCTTCAATGGGTCGGACTTCGACCAAGCCAAAACCAATCTGAGACATCTATCCGTGGAAGGCACGAAGGCGCCACTAGCCTTGTGTTCGACGCCAAAAACAGCAACCGACGGCCCTCTGATAGCACACACTCACCAACGCGCTACCGTGTCTCCGGTACACCCACGACTAGCGGCACGTGCTTGACCGGCCCCACGCGTGCACGTAAGCCTACACAAGAGGACAGCAACCACGGTTGTAACCAAATCACGCTGCTGCTGTTGGGAAGTGTACTAATCCAAAGGCTATTCATTACTCCTCGTCGTACTTCTTTAGCGTTTTCCGCAGATTCGCCAGCATTTTCCTCACGGGAGAGTCGACCGGGGTGGCGAAGGCTCTATTTTCGTAGTGCAGGCCTTCGTAGAAGCGGTGTTGTCTCAGCATGTCCGCCCGTGTAATGAGCCCCACCAGTTTTCCTTCTCGCACCACCGGAAGCCTGCCGAGATCCCCCTACATCAGCACCAACCCAGCAAGAAACGGGAGAGGATGGGCGGGCGATCTTTCACGAATGATACTCCTCCGTTCTTGTGTACCCAACACAAAATGGTTTCACCTCTGTTCATCTGCCTTGTTGAATACAGTTAGCGCCCGCACTGCCCGCACTTGATAATCTCTAGCTTTGGTCGAGGCTGGGGTTCATATGCATAGAGGCCGAAATCAAACCATTAGACTGGAAAACACGCACACATGACAGTGGTGCAGCCGGCTACAAGACTGGTCGATGCCAATCATAAAAGACAAGCACACATGAAACACACATACACACCTTGATGAACTTTTCTTCCACTTCGTGTAATGGATCCTGGGCATCCGCCACAGGGAACTGCCCACCGAGCGACACCAACGCCGACACGATGCACATGTTCCCCATGGTGTTCCCCATGGTGTTCCGATGGGATTTCCCCATTGGGAGCATCAACAACCGTCAACACCGAGGGGACGACAAGACGGTTGGCGCTAACTCGTCAGAAATCGTGTCGCAGCTAGCTACCAGAGCGGCCACGAAACGCACGCGGGTATTTGTGGCATCGAAACAGAAAGCGACGAGAAGAGAAGCTGGAGGAATGGGAGGTGACCCGCCTGGATTGTAGCACAACCAGTGCTTTCTCAATAACCTACGGCATACGTACCACGCAGGACAACACACCCTGGTGATAGCATTTTGGCCTTTACAAAGAGTATGGCTGAGCGTGAAAAGTTTGTGAAGGGGGGCGCGGGGGGGGTGTACTCATGGTCGTGCATGCCGTAGTCGTTAGACCATTGACCTCGCATCCCTACAAAGCCGGGACGGAGCACGCCGGGTTCTCACCGGACCAGGCTCTCACATCATCAAGCGCGAAGCGCCGTGAGATGTTCGGCGAGTCCCATGATGGGTGCGCTGCATCCTGCTAAGGGTGTTCGGCATCTTGTGCTTACTTCCTTGCGTACGGATGACAGCTGCTTATGACTTCATATATTTTTTGGTGCTACCACTTCTAGAGACAGTAATAAGCACTGTGCAACTGCCTCGAGGGTGCTTGACCAATTTAACACAACGTGGTGCGATCATCCGCCTTGCGCGGAGTGAGGGTTCTCCGCCCCGCACAACATGATCCACTCGACCACCGCTATGGTTACCGCCAAAAAAAAAAAAACAGAGGTAAAAAAAAAAACGGTCTTGGTTGCCAAGCTCACGAAGAGAATTGGCTTGTTCTACAAGGTCGTTGCCAAGCGACGAAAACCCAACCCCGATGGCAAACACCGGGGGGCGGGGGGCGTGTACTCNGGGGGCGGGGGGTTATCCCTTCTATGTGTGTATCTTGTGTGGAATGCGCTAAATACCACAGAGAAGGGCGGTCAATCGACCAATCGATTCCACATGGTACCGGAGGTCCACCCTTGCCGGTGCCACGATGCACGCAGTCTATCTGCTTTCATCGATTATGTTTGTGTTTGCATACATACCTGCTCCTTCATCCAACCCTTGACGAGCTCGTGTTGTCGCCCCAGTTTCACCGTTTTCTCCACCTGCAGTGGGTTAAGATTAGTCAACACGCGCGTGGTACATTCACCAATCTATCCATTGGGTATGTTTTTCGTGTGTGGTTTCGAAGTAGCATCGACCGCACCAGCCGGCTGACCAATGAAAGTGTTGCGTGTGGACAGGCGGATAGACAGAGACAAACAGACAGAGATAGAGACGAAGCAACAGAAACGCAGAGACAAGACACACGGAGACAGCGACAAGGGGCGAAACAAAAAAAGAAAACAAGCGCCGGACTCTCGTGGTGCTCTTGAGCAGAAAAGGAACACGCAACACGCACGCCACAACTATGGAAGTAGACTACAGGGCGTGTGCGTGGAAACTAGAAGAAAAGAGTGAGTGTGGGGGGGCTGGGGGAGTGGCGCGGTCACACAACGAAACGCTCGAAGAACTTGTTGAAATGAAATGGGATGCTCAAGCTGTACCGATCGCACATGTGGATTGCTCTTTTAGTGTGTGCTTCTACTAGCTAAAATGTTTCACGCACGAGCATGTACCGGCTTGCAGAGGATACTGCAGCGAATTGAAATCGCTTCGTATTTTGGCGTTTGTGTCCACCACAAGTCTTCTCTCACCTCCTTGCAAGAGATCAGGCCCAGCACCTTCCCCTCCTCGTCAACGACAGGCATCCCTCGGATATCGTGCCTGGACAGCACCCTGCCAAGACACCAACAAGAAGACCCTTTGGCACGGTGGTTGAGCACGACCACATGCTGTTTCATCATGAGTGCTCCCCTCGCAGGGACAACGGAACGTTCTCGGAACGTTCGCGACATTCTGTATGACTGAAAGCCGGCATTCTGCATGACTGAAAGATGGTAGATTGTGTCGGTAGTAGCGCTGCTAGAAAAGCACCGACAACTTGTTATTTAGCCAGCTTGTCTCGAGACCACCACAACACTTGATAGTGGGGAGGGAAGGGGGGGTGGCTAATCTCTTCGATACAGTTTATGCGTGGGGCGTGGCAGTCGACGTAGAAATGGACACAGCAGTGCACACTGGTCCTCCTCAAAAGCAACGCACCATGTTTTCCCCTCGCCATCCTCACACCTTTCGTTCTTGGCAACGGATGGAACAGACTGACGAATCCCACAGCTTTCAGCAAAGGCCGACCATGTCTTCCAGAACATGGTCATTTTCGCCAAGAACTGTGATAGTGCTAATTAACGAATGCCGCTTGACTGGTCAAGCCAGGCTGATGTCTAGACCACCTTGCCTTCGAGACATGGTCATATTGAAAACAAGACGTTTCGAAGGCCTTTTGTACTGCTCTTGACGGATGCCACTTTTGACTGGTGAAAGTTTTTTGCCACGAAGCAAACAGCAAGAAAACAATCTGCAGCGTGTACACCCCGGAAGCGTGTACCTTCAGCAGGGGCAAGGAAAGCTACTGTCAACGCGAGAGAGCGACAGCAACACATGAAACGGTTAACAGCAACGACAACTTCCAGCACTCACTTGGAGACTTCCTCGATCGTTTCTGTGGCACCACATGTCTGCACGGGGGCAGTCATGATGTCCTCAGCCACTTCTAGCTCGGAAATCTGTTCCACGAATATTCTGTCCACCAGATCCTGTGATGCCCCCAAGAACGAAGGAAGCAACCAGCCAAATCATTGGGTCAGTCTGTGACGTTGGAGGTTGGTGTGTAGCCCGTTGGACTGGTGCTGATCATGTTGTGGAAATAGAGGTAAGAGTGTGTACCAACGCCGAATCAACCGTAAAGCGAAAGCACCACGGGCTATACGATCAACAAAACAGCATTGCCGAGACAACAGCAACAAGTATCGTCGAGAACAGCAACAAGAGTTATCATCATCAACAACAAGGCTTATCAACAGCAGAATAACTTCCAATAATAATCGTACAATACGAGCATTCCACTACAGCCAACATAATCGACCAATGGCCAAAACAACAAGTGCAGCGTGTGTTCTATCGATCGGGCGTCGTTCGTGCAAAGATCGCACGGCACGCCAGTGCATGGCATCCTATCCCATGCTACTATAGCAGAGTCGAGACGCCACCCTCGGCAAACGACCACCACTGCCGCTCCAAGACTGGCTCGAGGCTAAAGCGATGTACGCCCCACCTGCATGATGCCTGCAGCGGTGGCCGGCTCACCCCCTCGCATCGTCACTGAACTCAGCCGTAGCGACGCCGCGGCAGCCTGTTTCCACACACATAAATGCCCGTCGAGGTACCACACGAGGAAGTAAGTACATGGCACCAAAGAAAACAAAACCAGAAAAACTGTCGTCAACACCACCGTCACCACCAACAGCCTCTGGACCCTATTCTTCCAACTTTTTTCACGGAAACAATGGAGACGGATTTTTCTTTTCATTTCTTCAAGCAGACAGAAAAAAATGCGCAAAACGATGCGGTAACACAAATCAACAGTAGTTCTCCAAGATGGCAATCGACCCCCCCCCCAACGACGGTGCAAAATGCTACTAAAAACTAAAACAGAACTAGAATTGGCACGTTCATCCCTAAGCAACCGAGAGCGATGTCTGACTCCCATCCCCTCCCTCCTTTGAGAGCCTCCTTTAGAAAACCCTCGAGTCGTCGGAATGGCCAAGTGACGTGTATGTTTCTTAGATAGCACCGACCGCGCTAACCGGCTGACCAACGAAAATGCATCAGTCTTACAGCGGGATAACCACCGCGAACACGCTGCGTGTGTGTGTGTGACAACCTCGGTGTCACTGCTGTGGCCCTCTTTTCACATCACCGGTGCTTGTAACAACAGAACTTCCAAGAAATCACTAGGACCGGCACAGCAGACTGCGACTGCTGTCTGAGTGACTGAGTGACTGACTGACTGACCTTGCGGTGCCCCCCTCCCCCGTAATTGGACATGAGATCGTCCAGGTTCACCTTGCTCACTCGCGGCTGACCAAAAATCAAGGCGAGAATCCGCGAAAAAGACCAAAACAAGAACATGAAAAGGCAAGATGAAGCAAACTATTAGTTGCCGTGGTCAATTATGTGAATGTGGAGGAGACTATCCAATGGCAAGAATAAAGAAAATAAACGAAACGGGCCAATGGCATCAACTCAAAAGAAAACAAAACAAAAGATTCGCCTTCACAACAGGCAAACCCCTTTGTTTTGCCTGCATCACATGGCATAAAGGTTGGGGTGCCAGCAACAACTCACTGTGCCCGCTTGGTTAATCAAAACGAATTTGTACCAGTATCTCGTGCCCGGCGATGAAGTCCGTACATATGTACATGTGCCTCTGTGTGAGCAGCAAGCGCAACTAATCATGACCCAAGCCAAACGCGTCCGGACAAACCCAAACTCCCTGACGTGATCTCATACCTCGCCACATGACCACTTTACTCATAAATTTCCAGTCGGTGCTGTGGTTGGTTTATACTGAACCATTTGTATCGTGGTACAGTAATATTGCGTGCAGACCAACTCGTGACGCTTATCACAGAACTCGAATGCTCCGGGGTTTAATGTTCCACGCAACGCGACTGGGTTGTCGTGTAAATTGTGTCATACCGTACACAGCAACAGCCGTACCAGTAGCTGCAAGGCTAAGGTTAAGGTTTCCATGGCCATCGCCACCGACACCAACACCCATCCTGCACCAACATCCAACATCGTCCGTCCGATTCCACTGCCCTGCCCTATACCTCTCATCCTCGTGGCTTCGCGAAAAAAACACAAACGTACCACCATCCACACCGGTCTATACTCTGGGCGTTCGTGCGCTAGCAGATGTGTGCACACGCTGCGTCTGTGGCCTCGGTTTTGGGTGAGTGTCGGACAGCTTCCTCGCATCAAGGGTAGCCTGAGATCAAGTTCAACTACAGCGCCGAGCCTGTTCCACGTTCTCGCCTTTCAACCAGAGTCGTCCCCGCTTTGAATCTCTTTCTCTTCCCACCGCTATGGCCGGTGCTTGATCAGCGTTGCAACAACGTAGAAGCTACTGAAGATCCGCGCGACATTTTTTTTTTTGTGCCGCCGTCATTCAGTCATTTATCTTAACGTAGCACCCATAGGCAAGCCTGTTGGGAGCTAGTAGTAGTAGTTTTCGGACACTCAAACCGTGCGGACTCAATAAACAAAACCGATTGATATGCACGTCGTATTAGTATATTGATAGGCGAGCTGCTTACCCTTGCCCTCCCGATGACCACCATGTGAGTGGGATCCCTCCCCAGCTTCTGAGGGAAGTGCGCTCCGAGCATGAACACGTCGCTGTCGGTAACGTCTAGAACGTTCTGAGCCTGTCCCGTAATTTTCGTTCGTTGCGAGGAGGAGAGCGTTGTCTCCGAAAGCACAGATGCCGGGGGTGCATGATCGTCGTCATATGGATCATTTGTAGATCGCTTGCAGATGATCTCTTCAACTTCATCGCAGGACACTGCTCTGCACCATCTGCAAGGTCAGTATTGTGGATCATCCATAGGCTATTGCGCAATGGTTAGAGCGGCTTATTTTTGAGGGAAAGCTGGCCAACACATTTGACAGAAGCCCTCCCAGATTCATCTGAACGGAGGAGCTAGCTCAAAAAAGGCGACAGTCAATACTACAGCGAAGGCAAAACAGAGATAAAAGGACCATATTGTCAACAGCTTTCCACATCGCAATCTTTCCACTTTGGCTTCGACGCCCTCTTGCCGGTTGGAAGGAGATATCTAAGGTCAAAAATTGTTCCGGAAGGGTCACCAGGTTCGCCTGTCCAGTGGGCGAGGGTCCTACAGGGCGCTACAGTATGTCATACGTGTACACTCACAACAGCGGCCATGCCATTGACGTAGCTGTCCAGCTGCACCAGAGCCGTCGAAACAGTGGCTCCGTTCAGTGATGTCCTGCCATGCCGCCATGTCATGTGATGCGATGGGCAGATCAACAAACAACGAACGACCACTACCCGATGCGCCACGAGGACAAACGAGCGGACTATCATACGCAGCCAAATAGACCGTCTCATATACGAATACGTAAGTATCCAACTCAAGAAAGCACGCGTTGTTGCGATTTTGGGTGTCAGAGTCACCGGCCCTAAACGTTTGTAGGAGAGCAATACTGTACCGCCAGCGCAACAAGGACCACCCCGCCTACAAACCCTCACTCTGCGTGTCTACGCCGGACATCACCATCCTCTTTCAACTTTACGTTGCCGCACCTGTTGAGGTTGTTGATGCACTCCGTGAGGGTGCTCTGCTGCTCCTGGCTCAACGCGGCGTGCCCATACTCCGCGATCGCCTGCTGGCTCGACCCCTGCTCCATTAGCCACGCCAAAGCCACGGCATCCCTGGCAAAAACGCGGGCAAAAATGATCAAACACAATACATCGGTGTAGGGAAACTTGTTTCATCGAGTTCTTCTTGAGCTCTCCGTCCAGGACATTTCTTCAGGAAATATCTTTTCCGTGACCTCTCGCATCGGCCCCTCTGTCGAGCCCTGGCAGCGCAGATATTATTTCCTAATTTTTTCGAGTTTCTTCTCTGAAGTTCCGCTAAAACTACAATTTGCACAGTTGTTTGTTTTCACTCTTCCACCTCTGGTGTAAGACACCGGTTGATGGCTACAGACCAGCAGCTCCGACTTTGACACCTGTTTGTCTCCTCGAAGGTCGAGTTCTCTTGTTGCCCCCACGAGCTATTCATCCGGGCAAAAAGGTTTCTGACGATGCGCCACAAATGTGTGCTACCTTACCCTTCTCAACAATCTCAACCTGAGTCTCTGTTTCTTTGCTCTCCACCACGTCCTTGTGTGGCGTCGGTGCTACCTGTTGTTATAAGGAACAGAAAATACAGACACCATACTTGTACAGAGAAAAAAAGAATCCAGAAGTACTTCATGTATTTGCGAAGAAATAGAAGGGTTGTATCATAGAGTAACAGATCCAATCTCACACGGTTGTCGTTCAACAAAAAAGAAAAAATGGATGAATCGCGGGGTAGATTTCAGCAAGACGGCGATTCATCAATCTTTCGACGAAAATCACGTGCTTCCAAGCAGCGAAAACGATCAGTATCCCATCTGCATCGACCCAGCCTTGAGTGGCGGAGGTCAGACACAAACACGCATACCTAGCAGTGGCGGAGTCAAAGGTGAGCGACCCGGTGTCCGAGTGCACCCCCAAAGCAAGCAGCGTGGCTTCGGCCTCCTCCATCTGTAAACCCCTCTCCTGCAGCTTCTCCGTAATGATCGTTGAAACGGACCCCACCTGTTCAAATGCAAAAACATTTACCATACATCCACCCACACAGCACCATTGATTATCCATTGTGTCGGTTGGAATCATAAACCATTCGTTATCGTTGCTTTGACCCAGGCCACGGCAGGCGCGAGGGTGTTTTGTTCTTCTCCCATCATTGGACTCTGTCGTCTGCCCCTCTGGCCCCTATCCTCCACTTCTACTAGCTAGACGACCCAACCGGGGTCACATAGGAGGGGGGGGTTGGACCCCCTCCTGCGGTTCATGCCTGAGGTATTTTTATCGCGAGAAGGGTACAGCAATCCCTTCCCTCGCGACTTACGAAGTCGATTATGGTTTACTAACAAACGAGCTTTGCAGCGCGTCGCTTTCATCCTAGACCAGGATTTATTTAGTGAGAAAAAAACTCTCTCTGCCGGGACTCGAACCCATGACCTGGCCCTTAGCAGGCTGCGAGGCTACCCACTAGACCACCGGGGCGATGTGTGATGCTGCGGCATGACATGGGTCATTGTTGTCGTTACTTGCTGCTTTGCCGCTGTAGCATTCAATCCTGAAAAAGGCACCACTCATCCTCACAACTAAACACACACTTCTTGAACGCTACTGCTGATGTTTTCCACAGGCACCTTTCAACGGCCCCTTGGGGGAGGCGGAGGCACAGACACTGCAATCGTGGTTTATATGCATGGTACCATGCGCACCTTCTCGATCACGATAGAAGTGGCGTTGATATCCGAGCTCTGCTCATTGTGGTGGTCGACCACGTGAACCTGCCTCAGTCCAAGGGACCGCACGATGAAAACAGCAACAAGCATGGTCAAGGGTGCGGGTGAACATGCTCGTCGTCCGGCGCGGCTGTAGGGCAAAGCCGTGCGTTGCTTCAACAAAGGCACGCAACGCCCCCGCCGGTACATGGTCCGGCACCGGCTTAGCAGCCGCGTGACACATCCCGCGGCATTCGAAAGTTGACGTCAAAAACTAGTTCATGGCGCTTATGGCGTAGACCTGTGATACACAGTGTGCATCAACCGTGGTCGCCAGCACCCCTCCGCACCACCGCTACCGCTGTTGCTTCGCATATGCCACAAACATGCTATGTACAGCAGTACAGAGTGAACCGCGTGACCCCCTCCTCCAGTATCGCACAAGCACCCAGCACCAACGAGTTTGTGACAGAAGAGAATCAAGAACATATTCAACAATGTAATCCAGAACATATTCAAGAATGTAATTAAGAACATATTCAAGCATGCAATCAAGAGTGAAAATCAAGAATGTAATCAAGAGTGAAATCAAGAATACCTCTGTGGCATTCGCCAGAAGGGAAGCCGCAGTCCCGATCCTGTCGATCCTCTGAGCGTCCACGAGCCCAACTCGGAAAATCTACGGCACGAGTAGACCGGAATCGTAATCGAGGTGCGAAATAGACAAACTTCAGCCACAAGGGCACTGGAATGTCAACGCATGTTTACCACCACTTCAACTTCAAGGTGTAGACTAGTACTCTCGTGGAGATAGGGCCGTCATGACACGCTTAGCAGGGGCGGGACGGGCACCACCCGGCAACAGCAGCAGCAGCAGCAGCAGCAGCAGCAGCAAAGACATTGCCGACACGAAACAATTACAAGTAGGAAACACGTCGTAGGTAACTGCTGTGCCTGCTGTGATGTCTGAGAAAAGCAGCAGGTGGGGAGAAGAAAGAGGGCGTTCGTGCGCGTTCTCAAAGGGCCACATGCCCCCAAAATACCCCACGCACGACCACTAGTGTGCCAGACTTCGGCTACCATCGGACCACCAATAGCCTACTTACGTAGCCGTACACCATCATAGCCTGTACATGGCACCAGACACACTACACAGGTCCATAACCCCGAGTCCAGCCATCCAACTCCTACACCTAGGGCCGAATACACACGCTAGGTTGGAGGTCTGATCGGGGGGGGGGTGTGCGCGCACCCGTTCTCACCCGGTCGTGATCGATGTCCCTCAAGGCCTTGATGGGGAAGAGGTTCTTGTGAAGGGCCAGGAAGCGCTTGACTACCGGGTGGGTGCCGCGTGGGAGGCACACGCAGCACTCTGCGCGGCGAGGTGCAACGGTGGCAATCAGCTCACGAAAGAAGTACGCACGCATGTATGCATGCTACAAATAGCAGCCGAAATCAGCCCATTAGTTTAAGCCGAATCAAACAACTTAGACTTGTCAGCGAAGCCTAATCAAACCATTAATGAAAGCCGAAGGCAAACCATTCGACTAGTCAGCGCTGGCGTAAACTGGTCTAATGGCTTGATTTCGGTTCTTTCTATAGCACGCACGCATGGCAACGAGGAAACTCCGGAGGGAAGCCTACCAAGTGCAAGGAGAGGCTTGAGGTTTTCCCTCCGCATGTACTGTTGCTGATGAGATTCTTGTAACATGAAAGAATTCGAGCAATGCAGCGAGTGAAAAACCGTCTCGTGGGACGCCAAAGATACCCCACCCCCCGGAACCATCTCCAAAGCCCCACTACTCCAACACGAAGGGGATACCGCGGTCGAATGATACGTTATCGGAAGCTGTCCACGAGATGGTTCCAATGCCGCCATGTCCGGAACCGTTACTGCTTCATTTGCTGCAGAGTAATCGAGCTTCGAAAATCGGCCCAGAGGTGTGTGGCACATTAACTCACGACCTTCGGCATGGCTTTCAAGCGTGCGAGCCCTTACCATCAGGCGTGGTCTACATTTGGCAAGGGGCGGCGGCGGTGTGGGTATCGGAGGCGATTAAAACCACAGGTTCCTTTGCAGTTCCCCTGTACAGCAGTAGCCCTTCATTTTCGCGCCCTTACCGTCGTCCGGGCGCTCGTCCTGCCATAGCTTGGCCAACCCTACCGCCGCCGCCAAGGTGTCGAAATCCGCCGTCGTGTGCGTCAGCACCACGTTAAGCGCCTGCGTTCGCGCCCAAAGCCGACGCCGGCACGTGCAATGTCAGTCGCGTCCTGCGTGGGGACTGCCGCCGACAGCCACGTACCAACGCGCGCCGCCATGGAGTGTTCGTTCCACGTGTGCAAGCGGCACCATGAAACCGACGAGTTTTTACCGCTGCAAAGCCACACCACTATAATACGACAAGTCACCGCCATTGCCAAAGCACTGGTACAAACCGTCTTATCACCCTCACCTGCGTGTTCGGCGGGGGCGGGACGTGTTCTCTTGGTGGGGGCTTCGGCGTCGCCGCCAGCCGTGCCCTATGCGCCGCCCTGGCCTTCTCCTGCTCCTCCGAGATACCCTCCCCCGCCACCCTCTTGGCCCTCAAGCCCGTCAGGAAAGTTCTCCGCCGCCGGCCGCCCACGGCTGCTCCCGTTACCCCCCCGTCCCCTCTGCACCCGACTTCACCCCCCGATCCGCTTCCGCTCGCAGCGGCAATGGCGCTACCGCTGCCTGCGCGTTGATTCCGCCCCGGCCCTTGTTGGTGGTGGAGGTGGGTCGCATGACACGTTGAAGGATTGCTGCTGCTGCCGCGTCTGCCGGTCCCTCTGGGTCGCTGTTGATGCCGGCTATGCGACGACCGTCGTTGTCGAGCTGATAGATGTCCATTGAGCCAAGAAGGGGCTGAGGTGTCCGTCGTCCTTAACGCGTTCGGGGGGCAGTAGCCGAGGCTGCGCGCGCGGGGAGGGGGGTGACGGCAACACGATATTACAAATGTTGTCCAACATCATGGTACGTACTTTGGTGGTGTGTAGAAGGCTGCAGAGTTGGGGTGGAAATATACTTGTTGCTGGCGAACTACTGTAGTACAGCAATAGTCTTTACACAAGCCGGCCACACAGCATGCTCTCTCTCTCGCGCGATCTGTTTCTCTACCCCCCTCCCTCGGTGTCGCCCCCCCCGGTGTTTGCCATCGGGATCGGGTTTTCGTCGCTTGGCAACGACATTGTAAAACAAGTCCCCCCATCGGTGTTTGCCATCGGGATTGGATTTTCGTCGCTTGGCAACGACGTTGCAAAACAAGCCAATTCACTTCGTGAGCTCGGCAACCAGGTTACCGTTTTTTGTCCCCTCTGTTTTTCTTTTTGCGGTAACCATAATGGTGGTCGAGTGGATCATGTTGTGCGGGGTCGGGAACCCTCACTCCGCGCAAGGGGGATGATCGCACCACGTTGTGTAAAAATGGTCAAGCACCCTCGAGGCAGTTACACAGTGCTTGCAACTGTCTCTGGAAGTGAAAGCACAAAATAAATTAAGTCATAATTAGCTGTCATCCGCACGCAAGGAAATAAGCACAAGATGCCGAACACCCTTAGCA